TTGATAAAATAATTTTACGCGTTTTTTAGAAATCACCCTGTATTTCATAAACTAAAAGGAGTTTGACAACACTGTAAACAAGTCTTGAATGGGCATCAAAAAAGGCAACTTTTTTCTCATTCAACCGACCCTGTAGCTCTAACCGTTTCGGATATAGCAATAGTGGTATCACTTAAAATATACACCCTGTATATGAATTTATAGAATTTATAGTAGGTATATATACAGGGTGTCCCACGACGTTTTTCCCAGGTAATACCTTCGGTACGCGTTATCCAATATAATTGAAATTTTGAGGATCTGGGTAACTTTTTGTGCCGCTTTTACCAATGTCATCCAATTTCACCACTTTCGCTTCAATTTCGATCAAGCGACGTCAACATTCGAATCTTAAAACCTCGTGGGACACCATGTATATATGCACACACACACACCCAAACACCTATACAGGGTGTCCACTTAGTGCGATATCGGACGATATCTGCTTACAGGTTGATGCAAGAAAAAAAATATTAAATTACAAATTTGTTTGATACTCTAGTTAAAAATATTTTTGAATATACAGTATATAATATAAATTCAATTTTATTTGAATTTAAAAAAATACGTTTAAATTTAATATCTCAAAAACATTCAATTTTAATAGTTATTTATATTACTAGTACGGTATGAGCTTCATTACAGTAACGAGTGGGCAATATTGCCAAGACGAGGTCGTAGACCGAGTCGTGGTAGTCACACGAGTGGTGTAATGAGCGTTACCGTACATGTGATATACAACATTTTATGTACGACCCAGATTTTTTTCCGAGTTTTTTTCATATATTCGAAATGGTTTTAATTTTTCACAAAAGATTATATTTATAATTTTTGATAAATGAGTTACGTAATGAGCTCTCATTATCTCTGAGAGATGTAATGAGAGCTCCTTACATCACTGAGTGTAATGAGAGTTCATAACATCACTGAGTGGTGTAATGAGCTCATTACATCACTAAGCACGATAATGCAACTTATTACGTAACTCAAATAGGCTTAAATGAGTAACGTAATAAGCTCTTACAGTGTAGGTCATACATAATCTTTTATAAACATACAGGCCAGGTGAACTATGTAACCTTCTAGCTCCAAAATGATGCCCCTCTCTCTATTATTTTTTCAGAGTAACTGTATAAGTGTAATACTAGCTTTATGTTGGTATTTGGAACAGTTCTCGTTACGCAGAACTGCCTGCGCACAAAAAATAATTAAGAACTGTTCTAATATTAGTTCTGAACCGATTCAGAACAGAAAAAAACCAAAACACCTCGATAGTTCCTCCTTCAACAAGAACTGAAATAATTTCTCAGCCCTAGTAGAAGTAGAAGATAATTGAGACATCATCAGACAGTGATTCCGACGATTCAGTATATGAAGATGATGATAATTAAATAATCATAATTTATGTAATAATACTAATAAATTCAATACTATTATCTTCTACCATATTTATTTAATAATAAATGATAGGTATTTAATAATAATATTTTATGTATTTTTCTTTATATATGTTTATATAAGTAAAGTGATAAGCATTAACTCTTAACTCATCCTGGCAGGCCGCACATCAAAGAAACATGAAACATAAAACATGAAACGTAAAACATGAAACAATAAATTACGAAAAGCGAAATCGTTTCTTTGTTGCATACTAATTGAAGAAACAAGAATAATGTTTTTAAAGTCTTTTGGTAGTGTAGTGGAGTATAGAAGGTAGCACACAATGGAAAGAGTTGACGAGCAACAACAACTGCTGTTATGGCAACTTTTCTATTATCGTCAGAAAGCCAAAAAAATAAAGGAAACGACGTTACTGGGTAAATCCGTACAGTATACTTTTCACTGTTAGGTAACATTTTGGCAGGCTTTTTCTTCATGTTATACTTATACAATTCTCCATCTTGCTCTACTACTAAAACGAACACAATATTGAATTCTTGGTCGTAATTAATTTTTTTATGACCAAAAACCGTGAAACTGAAACGGAAAAATAGAACGCGGGGGAGGCCGCACATCAAAGAAACATGAAACGTAAAACATGAAACATAAAACGTGAAACACGTTTCATGAAAATAGAATAAGAACAAACAAATACAAGTCCGCACACCAATGAAACGAATTTGTTTCATGCGCGAGAAACATTTTTATTACATGAAACGTGTTTCATGAAATAGATCGCGTTCTATTTTTTTGTTTCAGTCTCACTGTTTCTCTTCATAGGTAATAATTTTGTGAATGTTTGTATATCTACTCTTTCTATAAAACGATTGAAATTTGGCAGGATAATTGTTTAATTCCTTTGCAACCAAATATATGCTATGTTTATGATTTATATTATTGTATGCATGTACCCATAGTAACGTCGTTTCCTTTTTTTTTTGCTTTTTGATGATAATAAAAGAGACGCCACAACAGCAACAACAACCTCGTCCTCACTTTCCATTGTGTACTACACTCTACTTCACACTTCACTACACTGAAACGACTTTGCAAATATAATAATTATATTTGCAACAAGAAACAAGAATTATTTTTGTTTCTTCAATTAGTATGCACGAAAGAAACGGTTTCGCTTTTCGTAATTTATTGTTTCATGTTTTACGTTTCATGTTTGATGTTTCACGTTTCATGTTTCTTTGATGTGCGGCCTGCCTAGTTTAAGAATATCGATAGCCTATAAGAACTACATTTTTTTTACGTTTGCCCCAACATTTTTGTCGGACAATTACATTTTACATCTAAGAATATAATTACTTGTGACCGAGCTTGTGACCTTCTACTTTTGTCGGAAAAATGGTTGTAAAAATAAAGGATGTCCAAACTCTGTATAGTTTAGGAATATCGATTACCAATAAAAATTACATTTTTTGTCCGACTGTCGATTTGCCCCAATATTTTTGTCCGACACTTAGATTTTTTGATTAAGAATATAATTACTTAGCCCTCCTATTGTTGTCGGAAAAATGGTTGTAAATAAAAGAGTTGCAGGAAATTGACATCTTTGGCGCATCCGACTGCGCATATGCCCCGTGAAAATTGTCCGACAAGGTTACCACATTATTGTAAAATATTTTTACCTACGAGCGTGCGGTAAAGTGCACTTTACCGCACGTTTTTGAAAATGGAAAGTAGAACTTTACCGCACACTATGCGGTAAAGTTAACTTTACAGCATAGTGTGCGGTAAAGTTAACTTTACAGCATAGTATGCGGTAAAGTGGACTACAAAATGTGCGGTAAAGTGCACTTTACCGCATAGTGTGCGGTAAAGTAGAATTTGATATTTATAATCAAAAATCCTTTTTTTTTTCCAGAAAATGGATTTTTGATAATTTCTTAATCTAATCTAATTTCATTAATTAATCTGATTCAATAATTAATTTTATCAATGCCCTTTTTTGGAGATGTAGATGCTCATAGGTAAAATTTTGTACCTAACACATGCGGAAAGTGCCTTTACCGCCCTTAACGGCTTGACCGAACTCCGCTTCGCGTCGTTCGGTCAACTGCCGTTGCGTGCGGTAAAGTATCACTTTCCGCATTTGTTAGGTAAATAACTATTATGGCAGATTCTGTTCAAATCAGCCGTGTGGTAATACATTTTATTTTCCCATAAATTTGACATATTTAGCGTATCCGACGCGTCAAATGCCCCAATATTTTTGTCCGACACATTTTTTTCCGTTGTTTATGTGATAAAAACTATCGATTAAAATAAAATCACCAATGTGGTCATAAATTTTTTTCTTGCATAAAATCAACAACTTCGTAACAGCTTAACAGACAAACGCCCCACTACCATAATGCGCTAAGCTCCAAATTTGTCCGACTTCACCCAAATAACAAATACAAAAAGTTTGGACGGTGTGGTCATAAATAATAAATTTAAATCTGGACCCAAGGACTATTAGCTTCCTAGAAAAAGTTACCACTGCTTTTTGACATTTTCATTCTTCAATCCTATATCGATTCTAAAACCAATTTAGGGGGCATTCTAGAACAATTTGTTTACTTTGTTAAGCCCCTGCTAAAAGTTGCTAATGGTACACCACCCATAATCTTGAGAAAATTGGCTTTTGTTTGACAAACAACAAAAAATATCATACCTGTTGCAAAACCCAAAAATCCTTTAGTCGCAAAAAATAAACAACCAAAAAGGAAATCTAAAAAAAAAGTGATAACCAGCCAAATAAATCATCATTTATTCAATAAAAAAGAATGCACTGCATGGAAAATGCAACACTGAAGAGGAATCTCGAATGATTATCGAAAATTTGAAGCAGGATTCAGAGAATAAAATAATACACCATTCAATTCAACAAGTCACATCTGATGGCATAGCAACACAGATAGAGAAGAAATAAAAAATTGCTTGAAATGACAAAGAGGTTTTATATCTGTTCAAGACATTATCATTATGAAAATAATCTAAAACTTTCACTGGAAATCGCATAATTTTTGTTGAATGTTCTGGAGATTTATCCAGAATGTTAAAGGTCTGCTACATTTATGATTACAAGGAATTAGACTGTAGAAATTTAATACGCTTATTGTGATGCAGAATTGTAAGAATAAAACCTGTTGAATTAATCAAACCAAAGTTTCTATAGGAACTATGTTTTATAGGAAAAAGACAAATTTGTTCAAGATTGTGGATGAGACGCCTTCTTCAAGGTTTTCTCTCAAAAAATCTTCACGCAATAGATATATTTAAGTGTAAATTGAAAAGATCCGAGTAATGATTTAATTCCAGATTATTTTACCTGTTTGATTTACTACATATTTGATCCGTCTCTTTCTTCTATGATTTTCTATTTATAGAAATTTTTCTATAGTTCTGTAACTGTTCTATAACACATGAATATTTGCTATTAATTATTATTATTTACCTATCTGTACATACAAATCCGCATATCCAATCGAAATAATTTTATTAATCTAATAATTATTCTTTAATTACAGGAATAAGTCTTTATCTGCAGTTGGGCAATAAACAAAATATGGCTAGCATACTGAAGCACCTAAAAGTATTAAATGAAAAGCAACTTTATCCAGACATTATACAAGTAGTAAGTAGTTAGTAATATTGCATCTCACTGCATTGAAAATGTTATTTTTTCTAGTGTAAATTGGCATTGACAGCAAGCGACCAAAAACCAAACTATTTCACAATAGCCGGAAAATTTCAAGTCAACCTCTACTACGCGGACTCTCTGTATCATATGAAAGAATACGCACAAGCCGAAAGCATTTATAGGCAGGCCCTACAAATGAGAAAAACCATCAAATCCAAAAACTCCTCTACAAAACTAATCACGGAAACCCTTGAAATTGTAAGCGAAACTGATATAAAATACCAAATATACTTGTGCTGTAAAGCTTTATGGAAGCGAAAAGAAGCTGCTGATATTTTACAAAGCGTCAATGCCAGACAGAGAACACCAAAAATTAATATGGCTTTGGGGAATATGTTTAAGTTAATTGGAATGGACCGATCTGCGATTACTTGTTTTAAGGAAGTTTTGAGAGAGTGTCCTTTGGCGATGGAAGCTATGAAATGTTTACTACAATTAGGTGTTAGCGGTATTGAAGTAAACTCCTTAGTTAATGAAGTTTCTGCAGAAATACCTTGGCTAAGTACATGGATTAAAGCAGAAGCTCAACTACACTCTAGAGATTACGCAAAGGCTTTACAAACTTACAAAACTCTGGATACTCACGGATTACTCAAAGACGATACAAGTTTAACAGTTAACATGGCTTATTGTTATCATTATATGGGCGAAGACCCTAAAGCTATATCCTTATTACAAAAAGCCATTAGAATGGACCCTAGTTCTGATTTAGGCCATGATTTTCTGTCAAGCCTCTTGACATCTTCCAGCAACAAAGAACATCAAACTATTTTAGAAAGACTAATTCCCGATATAAATAAATCGCTATGGACTGTCAAACATTGGGTGATACTAGGAAATTTAATGCTACACCAAAAACAATTCGACAAAGCTGTCTATTTTGGCCAACAAGCTGCTCTACTCGATACCGAAAACAATCCTGAGGTATTGTTGTTGCTAGCCAACGCTTTATTTCATTTGAAAAAGTATCAAGAAGCTGCTTTACGTTGTACGTCCGCTTTGGAGATGTATCCATATCGGCACGATTTTCATAAATGCCTGGTTGAGTGTTATTTGAACACGAATAGACTCAGAGAAGCCGAAGCGATGGCGTTGAATGCTTGCAAGGAACTTAATTTCACTGCCCAAGCTTGTTGCGTAAGTATTGGTCTACTTTAAGGTTTTATTTTTTTCATTGTTGTCGGCAGGGTTGGCAGGATATATATCAGCGATAAATATCTTGATATATATCTTGATAAATATCATGATATTTACGCTATAAATACCGTGATATGTATCGATATTACACACCTCGTCAAAAGTCTTGGCCCCCATTATTATCTTTTAAATTGTTTAAAGTAAGGAGATAATTTTTTTTGTGAAATTCATTTTTTATCTTACTGAAAACATAAAAACATTATCATTGCAAAAAACCGCCTTGTTCAGAAAATATGCAGATGTTTCTAAATTAAGACAGTTTAAAAGCAAATACGGGTAGTGCAGTTTTATTTAAATTTTGAGAAAAATGCCAGGAAATCAAATCTCTCAGTTCGACCGAGCAAGAATAGTGGCTCTACATCAAGAAGGTTTATCAAATCATCTTATTGCACGTCGTTTGAATATCCCAAGAACTTCAGTAAGGCGCATTCTGCTCCTTTTCCTGGAAAGTGGTAGCGTTGCAAGAAGGCCGATCAGTGGCAGACCCAGAGTGACAACGGAGAGAAAAGATCATTATATGGCTAATTTCACACGAAGGAACCGAACAATAACCGCAACAGGCCTTCGAAGTCACTTTTTGCGCAGATACCGAAGGGCAGTTTCGACAAGCACCATAGGCAGAAGACTACATTCCTCAAATTTAAGAGCAAGAAGACCTTTAAGGGTGCCTAGGCTTACACCTCAACATAGAGCTGCACGTCGTCAATGGTCCCAAGAACACAGAGATTGGCTCTTGCCTCAATGGCGCAACGTCCTTCTTTCGGATGAGTCGCGATTTGGTCTACAAAGTGACAGTCGGCGGCACAGGGTCTGGAGGGGTCCGGGTAGAGCAGAACGACTTGCTTTTGCCAGAGAAGTTGTTCCCTATCAAGGTGGAACAGTTATGTTTTGGGGCGGTATAATGTATGGTCGCCGTACCCCACTTATCCTTATTCAGCGAACAATGACAGGTGCCATATATGCTGAAAACATTATTGAACCAATCATTCAGCCCTTGCGCAATGAATTTGGAGAAAATTTTATTTTTCAAGATGATAATGCCACACCACATCGCACACAAAGGGTACAAAACATGCTGCGGGAAGGAAATATCCGAAGAATGAACTGGCCAGCAAACTCTCCCGACATGAATCCAATTGAACATGTATGGGATCACATTTCCAAAGCAATATTCAACCCAGAAAATCCCCCTCTAACCCTTCAAGACTTAATTGCAGCTGTTCAAGAAGAATGGGACAATATGGCGGTAGATTATATTGATAACCTGATTAGAGGGATGCCCAGACGTGTTGGTCAATTGATCGAAAGAAGAGGAGATCATACAGACTACTGAAGTAGGTTTTTGTTAGTCCATTACATTTTTTGTCGAAGAAAAATCATTTTTTAATTTAAGAATTTCTGCCATTTTTTCGTTATTTTGTTGTACTGCATTATATAGAAAGTAAATAAAAAAATGTATAGTCTGTTTTTTTTGGAGTTGAAGTAAAGAATAAACTTCACTAAGTTTTAAAACTTAAACTTCTTTGTTTTTGAAAATATCTAGGGGGGCCAAGACTTTTGACGATGTGTGTATTTGCATGGCCTTCTTTTCTTATTTTATAGTTTTATTATTTTATGTTGAGAAGTTTAACGGCCGTAGTAGTATATTTATGAGTAGGAAATCACAGGGATCTCGGCCAAAACAGTCTATATTACGTCAATTTTCAATTATCAATTATTATTTTATTTATTTTTATAAACGTATAAGAAAGATCTAGTTTTTTAAGGCAAGTAATATGGAACTATTTTGGCAGATAACTAAATGTTAACTTCTAGTTACTCTGTCAAAAAAGTTTTATAATACCCGTCCTAGGTTGACTTTTTTTTTGTTGTTGCACCAGGACTTAAGGTATATATAAATATAAGTAGTATAAATGATATAAATGTTTTCATATTCTTAAACTTGAATTTTTATTTACCTACTACACTTTATGTTCCTATACATATCTATAGGAGATAGGAGCACGAAACTTCTTATCGCCATACCAACTTTCTTTGATTTTGATTTTGATTTTGATTTGATTTATATAGCTTGATAGTTTTATGGCTGCAATATCGATATATATCGGATAATTGGATATTTATATAAATATCATGATATTTGCCAACCCTGGTTGTCGGAGTCCTATATCAATCATGTTTTGGTAATATTTATTAGGTTTTTCTGGAAGAAATACTTTATAAATTCAGACATTGCTCAATTAAAAACTGATATCCTAGAAAAGAAAGTTAAACATAATTTTCAACAATTATTTTGCTTATTTCTTTCTCCTAAACATATTATTTGAATATTATGTTTTCTGGTTTATTGCTCAACTATCTATGAATTTGCACTCATGTGCCTTTAACTGAAAAAAGCACTCATGCATTCAGGCAAATTCCCCAAAAAATATTGATAATTTCCATTGCACTCATTATATTACTATTGATTATACAACTCACTGTACATTATTCCCATATGACACGAGAGGCTTAATAAGTGATACGCCTTTTCAGATTAGCGCGCTTGGTGGCATTTATAGCAAATTCTATTATAGACATTTTTTTAAATTTTAAAGTATTAAAGTTTAGTTCGTTGTATAACCAGTAGTAATATAACTAGTGCATAAAATATTTCCGGAAATTTTCGAAAATTTTGTCTGAAGCCAATTTTTTAACAAAATCATGAGTGCATAGCGCCTGAAAAAATCCCGAACCCAAAGGGTGAGTGAATTTTTAAAAATTTCCCTTAGGAAATATTTTATGCACGTGTTATATTTTGATAGGAAATTTCCCGAGTTTGAAGTGTATTTACTATAAGTTGTGTCGAATATTTTAATTATGGTGATGTGTTCTGTGATGGTGATTGTTATTGATCTTTCCCATTTAAATTGTGTTTGTCAAAAATATACACTGACAGATTTCTGACATCAATGCGTTTTAAATGGAAAAGCTGGTCTCAATGCTAAAAATGACATCCTAAAGGTGGGTTTTCGACGGACGCCGCGCGGCACCGTCGCATTGGAAATTGCACCCGGAAATATCCCGCTAACCAGGGATATTTCCACTTATCAATTTTTGAAAATTACGAGATAAATTTCCAGTTAAATATGCACAAGGGAAATTTTCGAATGTAATACCACAAGAGGTTTCAGGATTACCGGATAATACTTTTACCTGTCACGAAACGCGTTACGCAGCAACACCACGACTCCGAAGGAGGAGTGGTGTTGCTGGTAACGCGTTGAGTGTCAGGTAAAAGTATTAGGTAATCCTGAAACATCGAGTGGTATTCAAAAGGTTATACAACGAACTAAACTTTAATACTTTAGAATTTAAAAAAAATTCTATAATAAAATTTGCCATAAATGCCACCAAGCGCGATAATCCCAAAAGGCTTATCACTTATTAAGCCTCTCGTGTCATATGGGAATAATGTACAGTGAGTTGTATAACCTTTTGAATACCACTCGATGTTTCAGGATTACCTAATACTTTTACCTGACACTCAACGCGTTACCAGCAACACCACTCCTCCTTCGGAGTCGTGGTGTTGCTGCGTAACGCGTTTCGTGACAGGTAAAAGTATTATCCGGTAATCCTGAAACCTCTTGTGGTATTACATTCGAGAATTTCATACATCTGTCAAAACTGACATTCCAACAATAAACTGACATGTTTTGATTGTTGATTTGAACTAATCAGATTGGAATTACGCGATAATTTGCACTGGTGCAAATTAGCAGAAAATTGCATAGTAACTGGTGCGAGAACTGGTGTTCTGACATTTAAATTTCTATAAACTATCATTAGATACCAACTTTGAATTTAATCCATGAATAAAAATTCCAATGAAATTTAATCTCTAGTTAAATTCGAAGTTGGTGTCAAATGATAGTTTATGAAAAACTAAGACAAGAATGTATGATCGGTTTTGCTTTAAAATTAACCGTTTAGGTTCTACAGCCTGTCAAAGTTGCAAAAAGGTCAATTTTCAACTGTCAATATTTCCGAAACAGTTGAAGATAGGTAAAGGACATGATACATGAAATAGGTACAGAATTTAACGTATAATTTGAAAATGAAATAAAAAATTGTTGTTTGCATTTAAAAAATTAAAGTTAGCTGTCATAACTTGTTTTTGAGTCACCCTGTATACATGGTATTATCATCAAAAAAACGGCCACTAAAATCAAAAATTGACTTGTTCGAGGTTTTTTGAAAAATATCCACCCTGTATATTTAATAGATTTTATTTCAACCTTTACGTGCTCACTGTATATAGATATACTAGCTGACCCGGCGAACTTCGTACCGCCTCTGAATTATTAAATACTTATTAAATGTTGCGTTAACGTATCTAGTAGCTGAATTGAATTCAGTTTTTTTCGATGGTGAATTTGGCTTTGGTTGAAGAAAATTAATGTTTACTCTCTGGATCAGAAAATCTGTGACGTCACCGCCCAAATAGAGAGCGCTCTGGGAGCAGTAAAACCGAAAATGCTATAAGATAATACTGTTACGTCGGTTGAATGCGCAAACAAAAATAAGTTGGGTTATGTAGTGGTGAGAAGCAAAAAAAAAAATAAAAATTTTTGGGGTGGACCACCCTTGTCACGGGTATAAAAAATAGCTTAAGACCTAGTCGCAGACCTACTGAATATACATATAAAATTTCATAAAAATCGGTTGAGACGTTTCAGAGGAGGAAGGTAACTAAAACTGTGACATGAGAATTTTATATATTAGATTGAGCATGTGTGCGTGTTTGAGTGTTTTTTTTTTATACAGGGTGATATAGGAAGTGCGGTAAAAATTCGAAATTTTTGTGACCAGTTTGTCATTTACTGCCGCTTGGATTTGGAAATGGTGTAGTTTTGCATAATTTTGCCCCCGATTTTGCCATTTTCTACAGAAAAGAA